AGACCAATTTCTGCCTCTTCTTGATTGCTCTCAGTAGAATCGGCCTTAGGGAAGTCGATTTGAGCATGTCGACGGAGTCATGTCGACATGCGAGTAGTTCGAGTGGTTCGCTGGTTGAGTAGGGAGCCTCTGAATCGGGTTATACTTATGTGGCTATATCATAGTGTAATTTAAATGAGGATTTTTAAACTTATGTAATTCCAAATTAATATCATGTATAAAGCAATAATTAATTAGCATGCATAAATACTCATGCAAATAAATTAATCTTATGCCTAGAGCAATAATTAAGGCTGTGTTTTGTAGACAAATAAGCTAGCTTATAGCTTATTTGATTAGCTTATAAGCTCCCTGTATTCAAATAAGCCTCGTTTGGTAGGAAATAAGCTCGAGCTTATTTGAAAGGTTTCTTTAGGTAGCTTTTCAAATAAGCTAGTTGAATTTTTTATTCCAGCTAGCTTATCAGCTAATTTTACCAAACACTTTTATCATATAAGCTACCTTTTCAGCTATAAGTCATAAGCTATAAGCTATAAGCTCAAAAATTACTGATAAACTATAAGGTTGCTTATCAGCTATCAGCTATCTTATCAGCTAGTTTACCAAACATAGCATAATTCTCATGCATAAATAAACAATTAATTGGCATAATAAATTTAAAAAAATAGATACACTATCATGACATTTAGTTATTGAGTCTCCTTAAACAAGGTGTAATGCCCCGTTTGATTATTGAATATTTGAGAATTATTTATTATTTATTTTATTATTATTTGACTTTATTTGTTGCTCTTATTATTGTTGATTAAATATTAAATATTATTAATTGTCTAAAAGTTATTTATTTGTTTAATTGTTTAAGTGTTATTATTTAATTAAAACGTGTAAATGTATTTTTACTAATATTATTATTATCTTAAAAATTAAATTGTGTGCAAGTAAATATATATATTGCCGAATTTATTTGTTAAATTTTCCGTTGTAGTCGCGTAATTTTATTTATTATATTTGTCGTCAATCGAATCGATCGAAAATTCTCGTTATCGCGTATATTTTATATTTCAACCCAATTATAAGGAATATCCGGCCTTTTGCTCCAGCCTTTTTATTGAATTTTATTTTGGTCCAAATTGATTTCGACCCAATGTATGTGAGATTATCCAGCCCAAACGATTCTATTCTTTGGCCCAAATGAATTAATCCCTCTTGGCCCAATTGGAAATATCGGCTATTATCTTTTTCATTTCCCACGTGCGAATCAGAAATTGAACAGATCGTCTCCTTCACTATGGCATAAACTGTTCGGATTTGGTGAGATTTTCGCCCACGTTCCTCTCTCTCGTCTCTTAAATCTCGGCCAAAGGTGATTCATCCATTAAACGTTCAAGTTAAACTCTGTATTCTCCCCTCTCCTTCTAGTAGCACCCATCTGCCATTATATCCGGCGAGACCTTCCACTTCCGGCGAGCGTCCCGTCTTTCCGATCAGCCTCAGCCACGTGCCTTTCTCGCTGCAGCGATTGTTCTTCGTTGAGGTTTCGAGGTTTGTAGCTCCGTTCGTTCGTGCATTCGGCCCGCTGTCCGACCCGTATTTCCGAGCTCGTGAAATCCCGAAGACGGGTAACCTTTTTCGAACTCCCTTATTTTATTATCGTGCCCGTATATCGTCGTTGGTTCAATCGAGCCCGTGAAATCGTATTTCATCGACTATTGTTTCGTATCATGCGTTATTGTGATTGGTGTGTTTATTCGTGGAATTGTTGGAACTCTCACTTATTGTATAAATCGAGAATCGCGTCATTGCTGTGATTATTGAGTAATTTGGAGTCTCAATATAGATTCCCGAGTCGTCGTTGAATTTCTGCTCGAATATGAAATTTTTTCGCTCAATGTGTAGTCGTTCTGTTTTTCAAAAAACCCGGTTGCCGTTGGATATGTCATTGTCGTACTCGGTCGAATTTTTGTAGCAGCCCCGTTCGTCTCTTTTTGTCACTGTTTCTGCAAATTGCTCTGTTCAGTTTTTCCCAGCCCAGCTCGCTTTCTTTCTGTTCAGTCGCAGGACACGGTTGTTCTTTTAGTCGCAACCAATCCACTGGTGCAGCGGTGAGCTGCCTTCATTTCCGTGTGCGAGGTCTTGAGTTCGAAACTCCCAGCAAGCCCACTTTCATTTTTTTTTCCGTCAACCAGGAGGTCCCTTATGCGTGCGGGCCGTTCGGCCCGTTTCCAGCCTGCGCGCGGCTTGTTTTCAGTCAACAGCTTCAGCCCGTGGAAGCCCTTGTTTCGGCCCAGTCCAGGCCCGCATCCTTCAGCCTGGAAGCAGAACCCATTCGGCCCAATCCTTCTTCAAATTTTCGGCCCAATTCGCAGTGGGGAGTCCCAATTCGCGACAGAATTGCATTCAGCGCGGCCCAGTCGATTTTTCAGCCTAATTTTGAGTTTCGGGAGCCCGTTTTTAATACCGATTTCAATTTTAAAAATATTTTCAAAATGAGAAAAATTTGGTAAAAATTATTTTAAGTCCCGAGACTGTATTTTAGTCCTCCGAGTCATTTCTTTTAAAAATTTGAGAGTTCCAAGTCGACGAAAAATCTGATAAAAATTCTTTAATCATTATTTTGATTAAGTGTGAGTCTTTAATGATTTTAAATATCAAGATAATATATTTATGAGATTATCTTGATTAAATGTAGGTGTTTGAGGAGTCGAGCCCTCGACCTACGTACCAGCTTTTGAGTGACATTTCCTACCTCGATTACCAGGTGGGTTTTAATTGTGAAATTTGCTATGCCTTAATTAATTGCTTTTCCTATAGTATGATCAATGTATGCATGTGAACCATGTATCCTTCGATGTGAGCTATATTGGCCGTCGAGCAGTTATCCCCATAGCTATAGAACGTACCTTCGGGTAGTCTCCTTTATTATTGTTGGCAGTCAGAGCGTGAGCCTTGGCTGGTGATCCTCGTATGTAAGGCCAAGGCGTAGGTTTTGGCATTCGGGGTGGATTATTGCTCTTGCTGGCCGAACACTCGTTGTAAGGCCTTAGATAAGACATTCGATATATAGTTCGGCAGTAGTCTATTGCAATAGGTGTGCACATGAGACTCATTATTGATTATTGATAGGAGATGGGACAGTTATTGATTCGTATACATGTTGCGACCATACTTAAATTGTTTTCATGATTAATGATATTAATTATTGCATAGCGGTGAGCACCTCGATTTTTCTATTGTGCTCATCCCCACCTGCTCTTCATGGATGCAGGTTAGTGTTGCGGGCACGGCGAAGAGATGCGAGTGGTGGTCTTAATAATTGATACTGCTTCCGAAAAAAACTGAATATTGCTATTATTGTTTTCTTTATTATTGGTTACTGGATTATGGATAGGCAGTGTAATCCCTAGGATGACTTGATTATTGGATTGCGAATTTGAATATTGATAATTGAGTATTGATGATTGTTTAAGTATTGGTGAATGATTGAGTATTGAAAAGTTGGTTAAGTATTGATAAACCGTTTGAAAATGAGTAACGCCTCAAGTGTTTATTGAAATAAATTTGAAAAATTTATTCTGATTTTCGGCAAATAAAAGTGGGGCGTTACACAAGGAAACCTTATCAGATTCTTTCCTTGTCCAACTGGAACTCTCATTGCAGTAGATCTTGATAGATATTGTACTGCTTGTCCAACAAGAAAAACACATGCCACTAGACGCCGCCATTGCTGCCGGTGAAAACTGACTGGAATTCTTTTTTTCTCCTCGCGATTCTCGCAAGCTGCCTCCAACTGGGCTTTCCCGCTTCCACCAACGGCCACTGCCAAGCTGCACGGGCTGCCGCGGTGGCTCGCCGGGGATTCCTCAGGCCCGGGTCCAGTCGGTTCTTCGAGGTTTGTCGATCTTTGTGATCTCCCGGTCCTAGATCCAACGAATGGATGTACATATTTTCAAGACAAATAATTAAATGTATCTGGTCCACCCCCGAGTAAATAATTATTACAAACATTCATCCATTAAATTCCTCGACATGTCCGAGGTTTTAAAAACAAATTAAAACCATTCATCATATTCAACAACATTCATCAAACACATATACGACCATAATAGTGGATTAAACTAATTTCTGCAAAACCGAGTTATGCAAATATAATCCAATATATATGGATACGTTTGAACACATCTTGTCAAATAAAGTCGTGAAAATTTGAACTTTGTACAAAACGAATTAACCAAGTGCTCTGATACTACTTGTTGGGATCTATGAGGATTTCGTCATGTACAAGTCACGAATTCAATAGCAAACGTAAACCTATGCGCAGCAGATCTAAAGGTTTGACACAGAAAACTTACGGCTTAAAATTTTCTGAATCTGACGGATTCGGGATGACCGGGAATAGCACGTCGGAGGATGGCCGGGATCACGAATGGGGCGGGATCGGTTTAGGCAGTTTAGGGGTTGATGCTTCTAGCTACGGGATATGTGGTTGACTTGTTTCCGCTGGTTTGGTTTGGTGCTGCTGTATAGTAAGGGCTCGTTTAACTTATGATGAGTTGTTTTGTTTTGTTGATAGATTTGTGAATTTGTGTGTTGTTTTGCTGTGTTTTTGGTCTGGGTTGTCGGCCTTTGTGAGCCTGAGTGTCACCTTATTCTCCTATTGAGAGACGACACTCGGGTATTACTCTGTTGAAGTTCTTTTAATTTCTTAGTATTTTAGTGTGTTAGTGTTGTTTGTGTTCGTTTGTATTACATTACCTGTTGGGGTCGACTCTAGGCAGTCATTGACTGTCTTCCCATTCTATTCAGCTTGGCTGATTGTATTCAGCTGGTGGTTAAGGTGTTGTACATTTGTGTTATTTATATATAAAATCTCTATCGTTTCGGAAAAGAAAATAAAAAAATATATGTATATCATTCCATTTTACTAAAATAAACTGTTTCTACCTTTTGACTTCAAGATAAACTGTTTTTGGGAAACAAGAATTTAATTTAGATGGAAGTTCATATATAAAAATAAAGTTTAAGAACATTTTGACAGGCCTACAAAATTTCGATTTCAACATTTCTTAATTCTGAAANAAAGACCGAAAAGCTATCTCAAACCTAAGCCTACATACAAAAAGAAAGAAACATAAAAGAGAGGAAGACAAAAAAACTGCAAAGTCTATTTTATAAGTAGAGAAGGTTTATAGATGGCGCAGCTTTGTGCAATTTCAATTCGCTCTCGTGGGTCATTCATGGTCTCGTCTCTCAAGGCTTGAAGAATTCCCTCAGGTGGCATCTCCCTAAGAATTATCAATTTAACAAGATCACATGAATCAGATTAAAATTGGTGCCGGAATAAATTCTGAATCCAAACTCTTAAAATTTCACCTACCTCATAATCAGTATTTTATACAGCATTTTCAAGATCGGACATAGCTCGACTGGCGCAATGTGATTATTTTCGTTGGGTTGCGAAACATTCATATGAGACTGACTCAGCAACTCGTAAAAAGCTTTAACAGCAGAAACACCCTGTAATAAATACAAATTATCCGTTAACAAGACAGACGGAAAAAACGCATACCTGAGTCATGCCCTTGCCTGAATTATTATTATTATTATTTTCCTTGAATGAATTTCAAACAAGCCATTGGCCTATGTTGTGCTCACTAGTTCAAGAACACATTTGTTTAAAATGCACATACCTGAATCATGCCCTTGCCTTTGATGCTGTCACCCATATCAAGGTTTATTTCCCCTTTGGCCAACTTCAGACCATACCACGCATTACGACCTTTCAACAAGGTCACGTATGTGTCGGCTAAAAGGGGTCCTGCAAGCTTCTCAGGTTCCTCAGCTAAAAGATGGGTAATAAAAATCATCTCCGATGTGCAGTGAGCAAAATATACGGATTTGCTAGTCGCACTCTCGTTAGTTAGTGCTGCTACCATCCCTGGCCATTTCAGTATGAAAACTTTAGACAACCACTGATGCCCCAAAAAGAGGGGGATAAAAAAACCCCCACTGATTTTTATATTAAAGCAGAAAGTTCATCAATTGTCATGCAATAATTTCAGTTCTGGGGAAGATACCATAAATCAAAATATTCCTTCAACTTCTTACATGAGCCCAAAAAAATTGCCAAGTACAAACTTCCATGATTAGCGTTTATGCCGTCAGTAACAGCGAAAGCTAGTTACAATGATGTGCTTGGTTTAAATAACTCGCGGAAGTGAGTCCGGTTTTATCTTCATATATTAACATCCAGGATCCTCATTGTAGAAATTAACTTTAGTTCTTTTCAACTCAAGGTCACAATTTTATTCTGATAAATAGGCGTTTTACTTTTTGAATGAGAAAACAGTTTCAAAACTTATTGATTAACAGCAACTTTGTCGGAAATTTAGGAAACCACACTGAAAATTTAGGAAATAAAGGGCACAGAGTTTGTTAAATATTTCACCACACCGAAAAGCAATCTTACCGGCCCCAATTGCATACACATTTTTAAGACCCCCCATTACTTCATGAGTGACGAGGTCACCGTTATCCCAAACAACAAAATGCGGCTGTCTCAAGAACCTGGCCAGTGGTTTCCTCCATTTTTCAGCTCCACAAATTCGAGCATTTGCATATTCCCTGTTGTAGATTTCTGATGCAATGTTAGGTCCTCCAAGATAGAGAATGTTCTCCATGGGAATCCCAGCTGTAGAAATGGTAGCACAAATGAGAATAGAGAAAATCAAGCATACATTAATCATTTACTTATTCAAAGTAGATACACAGAAGGGTATATAGCAATGTTATTTTTACCACCAATCACAGGCTTCTTATATTCAGATATCGAAGAATGAAAGAAGTGGAATCCTCTAGCTAAAACGAGAAGAAAAAAAAAAAAGCGAGGATTCCATAAATTCAAGGAATAAAGTTGATCCCGATGAACATATATGAGACTTAGACTTGAAATTCAGAAAGAAACAAGTAAAATAAACCAAATCCTAGTACCAAATATCTGAGAACTACAAGCAACCAAATATTCAAGATTTCGAGTTACAACATGGAGATAATAAAAAACAAGTGGTCTCTCAAAATTGCAGCCAAGCTATTTGAAATTCAGGTGCAAACATACTAACATACACTCAGGTTCAAATATTTCCATCCAAATGAATTTATTTCACACTTATCCAATATTCCCATAAGGTTTAGCAAAATGAAGTAGGCAAAAACGACCAACAGTATAGGTATCCCAAAATAAAACACACACACCCCTATCTAACTGATTACCCAAGAAACTAGCAAAAGTAAACCTCAAAACTTATCTTACTCGCCCGGCTGATCATCTGAGTTGGGGTAACTATCCTCGGCTGAGGCTGCAGCTCAGCCTCGATTCCCTTGGCCAATGAAATAATAACTGGGGCACTAATCCTCTCCTTCCAGTACCTACTGATCTCCTCAAACACCTCCTGAGTCTCAGTTGAGGGCAACCCGTTGACCACAATATCCGCATCCCAAACTGCCTCCTGCAAACTAGTCACCACCTTCAGTGGGCAAAGCGGGGTCTCGATCATATTCAGGCAAAACCCATCCCTTAAAATCTCGTCCGCGTACAGAACCCTGTCCCCCAACCTTCCCTCCACGTACTTCAAGTACGCGCACCGCCTTATGAGCCTCCTCAACACCTCCTCCCTCGAGTTAATCACCTCGAACAGGTGCTGGGCCGTGGGCCGGTCCACAGCCCGACCGGCCCGCCTCCATACCCGGATCTGGACCTTGTCCCGATACATCCCGTACGCGTCCTGCAGCATTGCCGTGAAAACGCTGCCCCATGCACCGGCGCCAACGCCGGTGATTCTCAGCGGGTCGCCGTCGGTTTTACCGAACAGCTGCCGGAGGTCGTCGATTTTGCCTTCCAAGGCGCCATTTGCGGGTGGACCCGAACAATTCGAGTCCCGCTCTGGACCTCCCTCCATCTCGCAACGATCGGAAAATTCGAATTGGGAGTAATAGAAACCGGATTTGTTGAGAGATAATAATCTTAGGAATATGCAATTTCAGTATGAAATGTGAAATGAGAGGAAAAGCGAATACCAAATTGGAGGGGAGTTTGATGATTGAAAAGAATTAGTAGAATGAAAGCGAAGGCGCGGTTTTGAGAAATGGGCATTGGTTATTTGGTTGCGCCTTGACCTCAGAAGCAGCTGGAAAATTCGGGCTCTTTATTTAAATGGGATAGTTTAAGGGGTGTATTTATTTAAAGGACCTTCTCAACAATATTTTTGTTTAAATGACCCATTTATTAAAGAGAAAATTATAGCCTACACTAGAAAATTATCTTTTAATTACATAAATAACACTTGGTTAAAAATATTTGCATTGTACAGGTATATTACGGTTTTATTTGCATACATACGAGAATCTGTTGATAAAGCAAGTTGACTTAAATAATTAATTTACTAGCTATAATTAAGGTGTATAATATCAGTAACAAAAAACGGCTCCCGATGAATATGGAATGAGAAAATAAAGATTTCTAAAAAACCGCCCACCGCCCACTCCCTTCAACACGTTTTTCCTCTTCTCTCTCCCACAAAACTTCTCAACTGCAAAACACTAACATATCCAATTCGAAATATGGCAAAAGCGAAGATTGGAAGAAGTCCGGTAACCGGCGCCGAAGCCTCCCCTCATCGAAGATCGAGTTCGCGTCTCAGAAAAATAAAAGCTTACAGGAAACCCACTCTCGTTCAAAAAAAATTGCAATTTGAAAAAAAAAAATGAAAACCGATAACTATCAGATTTTGCCCGGCAAGAGAAGACCAGAAAAGGCCGACCCCTCATCCGATTCCGATGACTTTCAGTCGAAACCCGGCCACAATCCACAGAAAAGGTCACGGGTACACAATGAAGGAAAGAAGCGAGATGTGGCACAAAAGGGGGCAACAATGGATTCCGACTTTGAGGACGAAAGTCACGAAGAAGTCAGTGAAAGCCATGAAGAATCGAGTGACGAGGACCACGATTTGCAAGAAAAGAAGGAAAAGGGCAAGAAACGAGCAATAAAAGGTGAGAATAAAGATAACCCGTGCAAGAAGAGGAACAAACGTGTTGACAATCTCAAGAAATCAGAAGAATACTTGCAAAATCTGGGAAAAATTAAGGTAAATCACAAGTTTCTATTATGTTCTAAAGACACAAAAAAAAAATAAAAAAAATACTATGTTTATTTGAGCAAATATACATAAAATTCTATTATTTTAGTAGTGTCGTTGTGGTGATGTTGATTGTTTGTTTCAAATTCTATTATTCTGTTGTTGTTGTTGACTGTGTTGAACTTGTGTTGTAGTGTATATTTATATGGTATTTTTAGTAAAAGGTTTTTTTTTTATGAACATATTTGTGTATATACAAAGCTCACTTAAACCATATGCGATACATGGGTGATTGCATATGTTATGGATATATTTTGCCCAAATGCTCTGGAACTGAAGAATACATTTATACATATATATTCAATATATGTTGTATATGTTCATGGTAGTCCCTGCTGTATATCCATTTTTTTATCGATCGTTTTTTATTGTGACCAGTATTGTGTATATAATAAGGATATGACATGTATGTAATCTGGGGACAAAAATTTTCATGTCGATTTTTTTGGGGATTAAGTGTTTATTTATGTGTTTGGCAGTGCGGTGTATGTGTTGTGTATATGTTATTGTTATATTTCCAAAGTCGGAATGCGATCATGATTTGTGAACTCATACGGTATATACCTGCACTATATGTAGTATATGTCCTCGGTAGCCCTTTCTGTATATAACTATATATATATACATTTTTTTCCACCATTTTTTTTTAATGTACTATATGTGTATATAATAAGGATATGACATGTACATAATTCAAGCGAAAAAATTAAAGAAAGTTTTTTTCGGACAGGACTGGGAATTGCTCATACCAAATCCGAGGAAATTACATGTGAAGATTCAGACCAGTAACGATAACAACCAACCTGGGTCGACCATAAATGAAATAAAGAGGATGCTTACCCCCGGGCAGATGGAGATTTTAAGGGGTTCGGCTTTTGGAAAGTTTTTGGACCTTCCACATTCAAAAATCCAGATCCAATTGCTTAATCACATTCTCTTACGAGAGGTCTATCAACCCAGGACAGACGAGATGTGGTTTGATTTTGGAGGAAGATTGTTCCGGTTTGGGATTGAAGAGTTTGCCCTTATCACCGGTCTTAAATGCACTGGTACTTGCAAGAAGCTGAACATCGCACAAGTATCCGAAGGCCTATATGACAATTACTTCTCCGGTCTGATACTTAACCGTAGTTGCATAAAAGTTCAGTTTTTAAAGAAATCATGGAAATCCGATGCAGACGCGGTTAAGTTTGCCAAGTTACATCTACTTGCGAACTTCCTCATGGGTTCGCAAGACGCGCACAGGTTTGACAGATGCTATCTCGACATTATTGATAGCTCTGTTTTTGAGGAGTATCCTTGGGGGACTGATGTCTTTGAATTTACGTTCCATTACCTTAAAAAATCAATCACAAACCGAGAGCACAAGCACAAAGAAGGCAAGAGAGGTGGTTACAATTACAGATGTTATGGGTTTATGTTCGCTAATTATTTTCACTATCCGCAAGTGTACGGAGTAACTATAGGTAGTGGCGAGCAAGGTCGTATTCCACAGAGATTGTAGTTAAATTAATTAAGTACTAAAATAATGACGATTAAATATTATCTAGACTAGTGAATTGGATGATGATTATTAACTAAGAAATTAAACTAAGAACTAATCTAACTAAAAATAAAAATAAAAATAAACAAAGAAACAAAAGTAGATTCTAGGCTAAGCGTTCCTCGGAATTAATTCATGAAACGTTTATATTCAACAAACCTTATTTAATTTTACCAATCGTAGGGATAATCACTAAATTGATTTCAAACCTTTCTCTCGAACAAGTCAAATAGTAGATATTAATTGTATCTATCTCCTCTCGGTCTCAAGATGAACAACTAACTCCCATAAGTTCCTAGGATTTTCGTTCTCTCGCAAGGTCCTATCAACCTCTCGGTCTGTTTATTCTCTTACGTTATAAATCTCCCAATTATAGCAATCAATTATCTCCTCTCGGTCTCAAATCGATCACAAATATGCATTCATAGTGGCCATCTACTCACACAATAATAATAAGCACAAGAAATTTATAAACGAAAGATAAACCGGAATGAAAGAAATAAAAACTAAATCATAAATCAATCCGAGTACTAACAAATCCTAGAATCTAAAATAAATCTAGCCTAGAAACATGTTTTCAAAATAAGAAAAATAGATATAAAAGATTGAGTTCGAAAGAGGAAAAGAAAAAGAAAGAAAAAGCTTATTCGGCTCCGTCGATCCTTTCTTCCCGGCTTTCTCCCTCGTCTTGCTCGTGTTTCTAGCCTCCAAAGGTCTCCAAAGATGTGAAAATTATGTCCAAGACCCCTCAAAAACGTGTCCTAATGTTGTATAAATAGTCGAGATCGAGTCCTAATCGAAATAGGCCGAAAAAGCCGAAAAAATAAGAAAACGCGCAAAATCCGATACTGATGCGTCCAGGGCCACACGACTCGTGTCATAAGCCACACGAGTCGTGTGACAAAGTCGAGAGCTCGCTCTACGACCCGTCGGAACGACACGACTCGTGTCTCGGGCTCACACGACCCGTGTGTACCTGGGAGCGTTAAACTCCATTTTCGGTGCGGATTTCAGTTACTGGCGTGTTCTACGGGTTCTCAGGCATCTCCCGGTGGTCATACGGCGGCAAGACGTCCGGCATGGCGGTGTATGGCATTTTCCGATCAACTCTCCCCATTCCAACGGCATCTTCTCCGGCAATAGATTTCGTCCAGGTTGCTTCTCCGGAGACGAGCTGGCAGCGACGGCCATCAAGGTTGTCTCAGGTGGCTGGGTAGCGGCGTGGTGGACGGGCAGCGAAGCTCCTCGCAGGCGGGAGCTTTTTCATGGCGGAACGAGATGCGTTGGAGAAGACAAAGTTGCTGCCACATTTTTATTATCAAAAGACCATCTTACCCTTTACCTAAACATCTTGTGGGTTGATTTCATGGACCATGTTGGGCTGGGTTTTTTGGCCCAACTGAGCAAATAAAATGAACTCTCTCTTGTGGGCTGTGTAATTGGGCCTGTCCCAAAGCATGGCTCGACTCCAAAAATTATTTCGATCCTGTTTCCTGTTAAAACTCAAAATAAAACACCTCATCATAGCTTAATAAAATTAATTAAATAATTAATTAATTGTATAGTAATTAATTAAATAATAATTAATTATATATCAAACTACGACGAAACGGACACAAAAATCACTACAAAATGCACGTAAATATGACGCATGTCAATTTATCTTAGCTCTGCAAATATGGTTTTATGAAATCTGCAGCAAAGCCGAAGGCGTGGTATGCACATTGATTGGAAACGAAATCCCTAGAATGCTCAAGTGGAAAGTCCATGGCACCTACAACAATCTTTATGTACAGAGGGCTTTTTCGAATTTGGACTCCAGCAAGGTATTTTTTATCCACAGGCTTTGATGTCGAGGGCTGCAAATAGATTCAGTAAATATACATAAAAATGTTGATTCATTTTGTCTTAATTTTGTTCATTTATTCATTACAGTTTAAGAACGTGTCACCTACATTGGAAGAGAAGCAATCGCTGCTGTCGGTCACCTTTTTCCAGAAGAAGAATGAATTCAATCGGAACGAGACACACACGACATCTGCGCCGCAGCCCACCAGTAACTCGGAAATCATCGATCGTCTGAATTCAATTTCATCTGACGTTGAGAACCTGAAACAGTTGTTCTATGACTTTGCAAAGCGGGTTATGGCTAATCTAGAGCTATTCAAGAATACATTCATTGTAAGTTTAATAAATTTTAAATTTATTTATACGATTAATTAGTAAAATTGTTTTATATATATTATCCGTCAACCTTACATTCTGTATATATGTACAGAATATGAACAAACATATACACCGGATCATATGGTCTATTAGATATATATTGTCACACCCCGCCTTACTACTAGCTTTTAAAAATCAGAGTAAAATTTTTGTTTTTATTTTCGAAAGAACGTGCGAGCTGGGTTTTCGAAAATACTGACTTATTGCGGGATGTGGCAGATAAAAACTTAAACTGAACTCGGGCTTGCCCGCAGACATAATAAAAACATGCAACCAGACTGTCCGCTCGCGGATTATGGAATTATACATGCATAGTCTGTACTGTCTCGCACTGTCTAGAAAAACTCGCTGGCGGAAGCATCCGAAAATACGAATACATAACATGCGTACATAAACTGTATAAAATACACATGATCATAAATCTAGGACATAAAAATGCTGGTAAAATATGTCCGA